TCTGTGTGTCACAGTCAACATGACGGCATATAACAACAACAGACACTCGACCTTAGCCGTTTCAGCTCCTGTTCGTTCTTTGTTATCTTTTTGACTGTGGTAAAATCTAAATTTGGTCATTTTATCTTTTACAAAGTCTAAAATTCATGGACAATAATAATAAAAAATAAGAAATTTTAACTGTATTTTGCTATTCACCTGTTATACAGCCTTTTAAGTTCCCTAATATCATTCTGTGTGGTTTATAAACTATCACGTTGGACTCGGGAGCCAGTAAATCAGTAAGATTGGTGTTGGGATGAGTAGAAAGAGGTGTGGGCCTATAGGGGACCTGGGTGAGCGCATGGGAATTGGTTTTGTGTTGTTGATGCTGCAAGGGGAAGTTCAGCTATGACCATCCCCACAAGGTCCTTACTCTTTTTACAACTGTGCTCTTGAACTAATAACTACAGATGGTTTCATTGTCTATAGATTTTACCACTTCCTCTGATTCAGATTCCTTGGCCCTGTTTTTTATTGTCTGTTTTTCTCAATTTTATTTTGTTGTTCACACCACACATACCAAGGCGTTCTCTAATTCAACAGTTTCTACACTGATTATATTCTTTGAGATGTGCAATCTTTCTCACTCTCCTTTTCTAGACTCTTCCTCCCTCATTAACCTAAACTGACTGACCGTAAGGGTCTCTCTCTAATCTTGCAAGTTATGGCTGCCAATTTTATTCCATATTAATAGTCTTTAAGAGAGGACTTTTTTACTCGTTAAGTCAAACCATTAAGAACACTTCAAGGGCTATTTGGCTTACGGTTTAACAATTAACCCTGGGCAATAGTTCCATAAGTTCATATGAATAGCTCCAGAAACGCTATAGTACAAAAATTTAAAATTCTGTTCTTCATTTCCCCCTTGTGATCTGCATTCTGCCATGGACTCTTTGATGAAAACGTTCAGTAGTGATAGTTTCACATCATACAATTCTTTGTCAGAGGCAGCAGTTTTTCATAGACGTTAACTAGCCGCTCCTTCCATATTCTCCTTTTCCTGGTCCTCCTACCTTTGTTGTTCCAGGTGAAAAGAGACCAATTTTTGGACCTTTGTACAACAAATGAAAGAATTTTTTTTTGTTGTTCCCAAAGAGAAAGGCAAACTGGGAGAGGGAATGGGCAGGGAGGAAAATGTGCAACAGTGAATGAACGGAAATCCAAGTTCTCTATAAACTTCCATTAAAATCTCAATTTTAAAAAGGAAAAAAATTGTTGTGCCTGGGCTGGGTCCTTAGCTCTGTTTTTGTACTCCACTGAGTGTTCCAAGATGTGACCTTTCACAAGCTGATCTCCAAGGCTTTGTTCCATGGGTCCTCTGGGTGGGTTTGAACTGCTAACCTTTTAGCTTGTAATCAAGTGTTTAATCATTTGTGTGTACATAGGCCATTTTTCCTCAAATATCTTAAAAGGGAATGCTCATTATTACCACATAAAAAGAATCATCAGGAGAACATTTTGGATCCATCTGGGAGGTGGATAGGGAGCAGAGGATAAAGAGGCCCCTAATTTTGTGACTTCTCAAATGCCAGCCCATCAAGGTCAAGAGCAGCCCCAGGCGGTGGACAAGAACATTTTGTGCTGAGTCTGGCTGGTCAGGGACCAGAGGAACCATCCTTCAGAGCCATCCTGCCTCCAAGGCCTGAGCGTGCAAAGCCACACCCTGCCGGCTCCGTGGCCAGGGAACTGCATGTCTCGCTGGCCGGAGCCCTCCCAGCTACCCCCATCTGTGTCCTTGCAGCCCACAGCGGTGAGTCAGGCGCAATGGCTCAGGAGAACTAGTTCTGGGTGTTCTGTCCAGAAGCGGGCGGAAGGTAGTGGTGTCAGCAATCGGTGACAGTGAGTCCCACTCTTTGGAAGTCTTTTACAACTTTGAACTCGGTATGCAAATTTATGCAAGACAAGATGCAAAGCAGCGCTGGGAGCCAGAAGTCCCGTTGCTTCTCCACCCCTTTTTTTGAACCACTGTAAATCAGTGCTCGCCTCTGCCCTCCTCCCCCCTCCTTTATTCTCCCCCAGTAACTGCAAATGCAAAGCCTCCCCAGGCCTGCTGCCCTGGGACTCTGAATGACTGAACTTTTCTATAGCACCTTTATATGTTCAGCGGGCTAGACGGCCACTTGGGAGGCTCCGCCCCTCGACATAATCCCAGGCATTGTACAGACTGGACCAGGCAGGGGAGACGCTGAGGGAAGTCGTCCAGCCCCGCCTGGGGCAAGTGGAGGCCCTGAATTTTGAAAGAGCCCAGCCTGATCCTGACCCACTCTCTCCTCTTCCCCAGACACTTCTGGTCGCATCTACCACTCCACTGTCCGACGCTCCGCTGACAGCAGGCAGCTATCGGGCTCTCCTCCCACGCTTACCTAGCCCTTGGCTCCAGTCTGACTTCTCAGCTTCTTTGAGCCAACGCGTGCCAGTCCATCACCTCCTTGGGATCCCGGCTCATCACACCACCACCCCCCCCACCCCTGCTGCCATGCCCACCCCCACCCCTGCATCCCTGCCATCCCCAGGAAGCCAGCAACACAGCCCCTGAGTCCTGGGAACAAAGACAAAAGAGCTAAGAGCAAAGCCGGAACTGCTGGGGTTTGCTGCTGGAAATAAGAGGGTATGTTTAAAATTCTTGAAAGCAACCTGCACAAGGAAGAATGGCGGGGTGGAGGGGATCCTTTAGAAGGGGGTGGGAGCAGCAGCATTCAGGGCGCAGGTCCCTCAAACAGTTCAGTTGCCAGTCTCTGTCCCCCCTCTTCCCATGGGTTCCTGCTCCAGCCCTGACCTTCTAACTTCCACTGTATTCCCTCCCCATTCCCAGGTCTCTCCCTCCAGTGCCCCCACTACTGTTTCAATTACCCCTGTCCTTGGGTACTTTCCTGGGGGCTATTCAGCCTCTACCTCCAGGTTCTAACTTTCTTGGGTCCCCATTCAGCCTCCACTTCCAGCTTCTAACCTTCACTTGCAGAAATCAAATCTTTGGTGTTCCCTCTTCCCAGTCTAGGGGAACAAGAGGAAAAAATGCAGAAGGTTGGGGAAGCAGCTGGGGCAAGCTGGCGGAAGGGAGACCCAGACCGGCCCCCCCCCTATAATCCAGAGTGACATTCTTCCCATGAATTTACTCCATTGTCCCAGGGCTCTGCAGCCAACCCCCCTCTCTGCTCCAGGCTCTCTCGGGAGACGTGAAAGGGGATCCACCCCACATCTGTTCCCTAACCTGCTGCCGGAATTTGGGAACAAAAAAGTTGGTTTTCAAACATAAAGTGAAGTAAGAGTAAAGGGTCAGAAAAAAAATGAACCAAAAATATTCCCGCCAAAACATTTAGGAGGAAACGTACCACACACTTTTTTATTAAAACAATCCAAATCCAAACTATTTTGCCAACTTAGAGGCCTTTTAAAAAGTTCTCCCTGCTGATGAAGATGTTGAGTTTGTCAGCGTTCAAATCAGAAACTGCCTTTGGGGTGGGGTGGGGGGTTGGAAAGAGGGAGAAAAGGACAGAGAGAAGGAAGGAATGTATGAATGGGGAAGGCCATCCTGCAGGGAAGGGACCTTTGTGGAATCTTCTCCTTTCATTATCCTTCCCAAGAGGAGGGGGAGGCAAGAAGGGTTAATGGCCTTTCCGGCTAGGGCAGGGAAGCAAGAAGGGAGAACGGAGTTTCGGAGTTTCGAGGTTCCCCTTAGAAGCTCCAACTTACTCAACACTCAAGGTCAACGAGAAAAAAAAGATTTCAACTCTGACCCCTAATTCCATCCTCAAAGAGAACAGAGGAGAGATAATAGTGAACCAGAAAAGCCGGTATAGAAGAGGGTTGCAGGAGGAGAGGTTAGCTTGAAGGAGGACTCTGGGAGGACAATAAGCACAGAGGAGAGGTCTTGAAGGTGTATGTGTGAAATGTACTCGTTTTTTTTTTTCTTCCTTTGAGAAACCTGATTTTTTTTTTAAACAGCAGCAGCACGCAGGCAATGGGCACATTTCACCACCACTGTCTCCAAGGGGAAAGAAAAGAATTACAACTAGGACTGGAGGGGTTTGTGATTAAAGAAAAAAAGAGATCCACAGAGCTTGATGAAGAACTTCTGGGAAGTGAGTTCTCCTTACTACGAAGCCCAGAGATTCCCCATTCTACCGGGTAGAAAGGGTTCCTCGGATTTAGGAGGGAACGGGGCCAAACATACCCCCCAGAATAACAGCTTCCCTAGGCCTGAGACCCTTCTGCCTTTTGCCCCGGGGTCCCCCAAACAAGCATGCTTGTCTGTCCCGGCCCCAAGATTCCAGCTGGCGATCCGAGGGCTTAAATTACATTAACTCAACTGCAGGGATCTGCTCCTCACCTCGCAAATGCGCGCCGCAGTCCCCCCTTATTTTTGCATTCAAAACAATAGCCAGAGGCCTCCTCGAAATGAATAAGAATTGATTTACTTTCTCTCCTAAGTAGCCCACCTTATAAAGTGCCAACAAACCTTTTATTCTCCCTCTCACAATCCCAGTAGCAGAAAAAGTCCCTCTAAGCCTGGGCAGTCTTCAGCGCCCCCTCCCTCACTCGAAGTCCCTTCTAGGACCCACAATCAACTGCTACCGCCCCCCCCCAGCAGTAACTCAAACTGTACCCCAAACCTTTCTCAAGATTCATATTACCATACATTTCATCAAAACCCCCCTCCCTGCTAAATCTTCCCACCAAAATATAAGACAGGGTACGTTGCTTCGTGGGAAGAATATGGGTGGCAGGGGCGCCTTTTCTCTCCCGGTGCATTGCCATCAAAATAGTAGCCTGGGCTCTTGTGTACGCGAGAACTCCAGGTCCCCCTGGCCCCCGCCAGGACCCCTTTCTACCAGAAGTGGTCAGGACTCCACTGCTCCTTCCTTCAACTCCGGCACACACCTTCCCTACACAGGGCCCCCAGACGAGTTTCCCTGCCGCCCTCCAAGTTTGTGCGAACTAGCTGGCCCAGCCCGTGTTACCTGCAACCTGCTCGGGGATGGCGCCGTACTCTGCGTCCCGGTACTTTCTGCAAGTGCCCTCGCCCTGGACCAGCGCCTGCAGGGGCAACTCGGAGCCGGGATGGGGGTAGCAGCGCAGCCCTTTGGCGCAGCTCGGGGTGTAGACGCCGCACGCCTCGCCCTCCAACCGCGCGCATACGGAGCAGCAGCCGCAGCCCGGCTCGCGGACCAGCTCGGCACAGGGCGCACGGCCATCGCCGTCAGGCCCGGACCCCGCGGCGGGCGGTGGGGGCCCGCAGGCGGCCAGGCGCTCAGGCGTGCAGACCGGGCAGCGAAACAGCACCTCGGCGCGCGCACCGCCGCCCGCGCCCAGCAGCGGCGGCAGCAGCAGCAGCAGCAGCGGCAGGAGCAGCGGCAGTGCGGGGCCGCCCAGTCTCGGCAGCATGTTGGCGGTGGAGGGCGCGACGGCGGCGAGCGAGCGGGCGGGCGGACAGGTGGTTCAACTCCACGAACGCAGGAGCCACACTGTGACCACGGCTTTCTCCTCCTCTGCAGCCGCAGCCGGGTCCTAAAGAGCCCTGCTTCTCCCCGCCCCCTGCCTTCTCCCCTCCCTCTTTTGGAGACCACCCCTTTTCCCCCAACACTCCCGCGCACGGATATGTGCGGGAGCGCACGCCTTCTTGCCTACCCCTACTTTGAACTTGGTGGTGTGTTCCCAGATTCTTCCAGTGCCTCTCCCTCCAGTCTCCTGCCTCCTGTTTCGGTCTCCCTGCCTTCCAAGAATAACTTAGGGACCTGGGTCAGATCGTGCTTTTCTTTCTTGTCTCACTTCTGGAAGACCGGGTTTGCCCCCCCCCCCGCCCTGCGTGCCTGGAACTGTGCAGACTACTGGGTCCAGGGAGGTGTGGGAAAGATACAAAGGAAAAGATCGTCGAGCAGATTTCAGTGCTACGTGGCTCCTTAGTGATTAAGCAGCTTCCCAAATTCGGGAAGATAATGAGAAATGTCCTTATTTTCTCCTCTCCTCTCTCACAATAATCCCTAGCGATATATGGCACCCCACATCCCGACCCTCCCTGGGTCACAAATCAGGGACATTTGCTGCAGGAAGGATACCAGAACACCGTGTTGGGCGGGAGCTCAGAAGAGTCAGATTCCAGGTGTAAGGGCTGAGGTAAGAGCATTTGCCCCACTGCCCAGCAATACAGACAGACAGAGTGGCGCCCCCCCCCCCCGCATTGTTCTGTGTGATTTATCACTGGGGCTGCCCTCCCAGCCCGCGCTATTCCAGGACTTGATTATTGCCCCTCTCTCTGGCTCATAATCCTAACAAAGATCCTTGTCAGGCAGATCCACTTGGTGAGATGAATCATTAAGCCACCGCTTGCCTGGTCCCTGTTTGATTTCCCAATACCCCAGTGTGATCAGAGAGACTAATTCTATAAACAACAAAAATCTGTCATGAAATGGTCTGACTGGAGCTACAATGAGGAGCTGGTGAGGATGATGAAGAATTGGCAAATTTTGTTATATAAGATCTGTTATAAATGAGTTAAAATGACACTAGGGCAACTAACAACAACCCCAGTGCCACATCCCCCACCCCAGATCTCTTCCCTCCAGCTCTTTTGAACTTCAGGGCTCAGATTCATTCAGCAGCTACTTATCAAGAGGCTACTTGGTGAACTAGATGTGTCAGAAGATGGTAAAACTTGTAAAAGTTCCTAATCCCACTGGTACAGGAGACAGTTTGGTAAGACAAAATAATTGGTGGTTCTAGAAGCTTTGAAGAAGAGAGACAAGGGGCTCATGGTCCCGAGAGGGGATTCAAGAGGTATCTGAATTGAAGTTGAAACGTGGAATTTTACGAAGGGCACCCCAATCAGAAGAACCAGGAAGGACGAGGGCCTGGGAGTGGGGAAATCAGCTTGGAGACCAGACAGTTAAGTCTACGTGGGGCAGAGACAGAGTGCTTAGGGGGGACAATGGAATTCTAATAGGAAGGTGAATTGGCTTGGTGCTTGCCGTTTGACTAGAGGCAGAGCAGCGTATACACCATCGATGTTTGTACACAGTGAAACTGACAGAACTGGATGGAGTCTTTTGGAAATTGCATGGAGCTGTGAGTGGAGCTGACCTGGTGGAAGTCTGCATAGAAGCCAGGCATAGGAGAGCCAGTCACATCACCTCTGTATGCCCTGGTGCCTTATGCCTGCCTTGTAATGTTTCTGCTGCTCGTAGCAGTAAACAGGACATTAAACATGACACAGCTTAAGCATCTCCAGAGCAGGGACAGTATGGAGCTGATGCGACTGCACAGAAATTGCAAAGCACAAATGCAAGCCATGTGGGTGATTTTTCGTTTTCTTGTAGCTGCGTTGGCTCTGGTGGCTTAGGGAGCAAGGAGGTAGGAGTTGTGCTGCGAACCCACAGGCTGGCAGTTGGAACACACCAGCTGCTCTGCTGGATGGAGAGGGGCAGTCTCTTCCCGTGCCATTGACAGTCTCTGGAAACCCACTGGAAGGTCAGCATTGAGTCTGTTCCAATATATTCACAATGGGTTAGGTTAGTAACTGTTGTTGTTTACTGTAGAGTCAGAACCAACTCATAGCTGATCCTCCACTGGGTTTTCAGGGGCAGTTAATCACACCGGAGGAGATTGCCCATCCTTCTCCCATGGAATAGCTGGTGGCCTTGAACTGCGTGCCTTTGGTATTGCAGCACAGCTTCTTGTCACTAGGCCGCCAGCACTCCCTGGTTAGTGACTACTCTTGTACAAACAAAAACCACAACAACAAACAAAAAGTGAAAAGGAACTGGCAAAATTCATTTTAATGATATGCTTTACCTCAATAGATCCAAAATGTTACCATTTCAATGTGTAATCCCAAATTATCTTTCCAATGTGTATGTGTGTGTGTCTGACTCCCTATCATTGCTGTGGCATCTATTCCAACCCATAGCAGGTTTCCAAGGCCATAAAGACCATAAGAGAACTGCCTGTCTTTCTCCTGAGTAACAGATTCTAGATTAAAACCTTCAGAGAAGTGCTATTTTTAAGTCAGCAGCACAACTCTTTACAGACTGTTAAGTGCCATTAAGTTGAGCACAACTCATGGTGACTCTATGAACAACAGATCTGAACTCTATCCTATCCTATGTCAGCCTTCTAATTCCTGGCACATTTAAATCCATTGCCATAAACACTGTATCAATCCATGTGACTGAGGGTCTTCCTGTCTTCACTGACTCCACATCTTTTCAAATATGATGTCCATTTCCAAGGAATAGGCTGACACAGAGGAATTTAATGAAATAACATATGAGCAAGAGCCTATGGTGATGAAGGAGGAAGTTCAAGTTGCTAAAGGAAATGGCAAAAAAAACAAGGCTCCAGGAGTTGATAGCATACCAATTGATTTATTTCAACAAACAGATGCTGCCCTAGATGTGCTCACTAAGGTGTGCCAGGAAATCTGGAGGACAGCCAGCCGGCCCACTGACTAGAAGAGATCGATATTTGCTCCCATTCCAAAGAAAGGTGACCCAACAGAGTGTGGAAATTATCGAACAATATCATTCATCTCACATGCAAGCAAGATTCTGCTGAAAATTATCCAAAAATGTTTGGAACAATATGTCAACAGAGAACTGCCAGAATCCAGGCTGGGTTTAGAAGAGGTCGTGGTACTAGGGATATTATAGCTAATGTAAAATGGATCTTGGCAGAAAGCAGAGAATACCAGAAGAATGTCTATCTGTGCTTCATTGACTATGCAAAGGCTTTTGACTGAGGGGATCACAACAAGCTGTGGCTGACCCTGAGAAGAATGGGAATCCCAGAACATTTGATTGTGCTACTGCGAAACCTATACCTGGACCAAGAGGCAGTTGTCAGAACAAAGCAGGGAGACACTGGATGGTTCAAAATCAAGAAAGGGGTCCGTCAGGGATGTATTTTGTGTCCTTACAGAACAGATCATCTGAGATGCTGGGCTGTACGAGGAAGGAATGTGGCCATCAGGATTGGTGGAGGAATCATCAGCAACCTGTGTTAGGCAGATGACACAACCCTGCTCACTGAAACTGAGGAGGACCTGAAGCGCTTGCTGCAGAAGGTCAAGGACTGCAGTCTTCAATATGGACTGAAGCTCAATATCAAGAAAACAAAGAGTCTCACCACTGGACCAATTGGCAACATCAGTATGGATGGTTAAGAGATTGAGATAGTTAACAGTTTTCGTTTACTTCGTTCCACAGTCAACACACTTGGTAACAGCAGCCAGGAAATCAGGAGACGAATTGCACTGGGAAAGTCAGCTGTGAGGGACCTCTCAAGAGTACTGAAGTGCAACGACATCAGGCTGGAGACTAAGTGCACCTGATCCAGGCTATAGTCTTTGCAATTACGTGCTATGCATCAGAGAGTTGGACAGTGAATAGGGACAATGGAAAGGGAATTGATGCCTTTGAGCTGTGGTGCTGGAGAAGATTGTTAAATATACCATGGACTGCTAGGAGAACAAACAGGTTTGTCCTGGAGAGGGTAAAGCCAGAATGTTTCCTGGAGTCAAGGATTCTGAAGCTTTGTCTGACATACTTTGGGCATGTTGCAAGGAGGGACTGGTCCTCAGAGAGGGACATCATGTTTGGGAAAGCAGAGGGACGGCACAGAAGAGGAAAATCCTTGATGAGATGGACCGATTCTGTGAGTGGAGTGGGGGGAATGAATGTGTTTGAGATGGCGAGGTTGGCACAGGATAGAACAGCGTTTAGGGCTCTTGTACATAGGGTAGCTATGAGTCACAAACGACTCAATGGCACATAACAACAACAAATATGCCCAAAATATCTGAGATGAAACTTCATCAACTTTGCCTCCAACGAATATCCTGGTTGCACTTTCTCTAACGCACACCTGTTTGTTCTTTTGGCAGTTCATGGGATATTTGCAACACCACAACTCAAATACATCAATTCTTCTGTCATCCTTATTCATGGTCCAGCTCTCAGATGCACAGCAGGTGGTTGCAAAGACTGTGGCCTGAATCGGGAGCCACCATAATTTCCTTTTCATTGAGTAAATAGTATTAAATGGACATTCTGGTGGCCTCATCTGTAGGGATTTGCTCTGATAACTCTAAATCTTCCCCTCTCTGATGGTTCAAATCCATCAGCAACTGCAATCGACCATCAGCTCCCAGGGAGTGGTTTCCTTGGAAACAAACCCAAGGAAAGGTCACCTAATAGGAGGTTCCAACTCTACAGCAATGAGTTTGAGTTTTGAATCAATATTAAAAAGCATTCATGAGCAGTTTAGCATTCCTTTCTTTATACAAAGTTTTACAACCATGGAGTACGGCTTAGACTTAATTACAACTCATCTCAATTCGTTGTTGTTGTTAAGTGTCGTCGATTTGTAGACGACTCAGTGACCCTATGAAT